CACACCTGATGTCAGGCACAGTGCACATTTAGGTTGGGAACTGTTTCCCATGCTTTTTGGGCCAGAAGAATTAATGGCTAGCATGGTGTGGTCATTGTTAATGATGATGTGTGCACTATTTCCTAATTGGGCCATTTCCTAATTAAGAAAAGTGTTACACTTTTTTCTGACACACCTGATGTCAGGCACAGTGCGCATTTAGGTTGGGAACTGTTTCCCACGCTATTTGGGCCAGAAGAGTTAATGGCTAGCATGGTGTGGTCATTGTTAATGATGATGTGCACACTATTTCCTAATTGGGCCATTTCCTAATTAAGAAAAGTATTACACTTTTTCAGACACACCTGATGTCAGGCATAGTGCACATTTAGGTTGGGAACTGTTTCCCACGCTTTTTGGGCCAGAAGAGTTAATGGCTAGCAGGGTGTTGTCATTGTTAATGACAATGTCTGCATATTTCCCAATTGGGAAAGTCATTACATAATATCAGTTTGGTTTGTAGTGTCCGGTTTTTTCATTAGAAAATTGTATAGTGTCCGCTTTTTTCATTAGAAAATTGTGTAGTGTCTGCTTTATTCATTAGAAAATTGTGTAGTGTCCGCTTTTTTATTATAACACTTTGTAGTGTCCGCTTTATTCATTAGAAATTTGTGTAGTGTCCACTTTTTTCATTACAACACTTTGTAGTGTCCACTTTATTCATTACAAAATTGTATAGTGTCCGCTTTTTTCATTAGAAATGTGTGCAATGTCCCCTTCTCTCATCACAAAGGTGTGTAGTGTCCGCTTTATTCATTACAAAATTGTGTAGTGTCCGCTTTTTTCATTACGAAATTGTGTAGTGTCCGCTTTTTTATTACAACACTGTGTAGTGTCCGCTTTATTCATTACAAAATTGTGTAGTGTCCGCTTTTTTCATTAGAAAACTCTGTAGTGTCCACTTGATGCATTACAAAATTGTGTAGTGTCCGCTTTTTTCAGTAGAAATGTGTGCAGTGTTCACTTCTTTCATTACAAAACTTTGTGGTTTGCCTTTCTGATATCTTGTAGCTTCCTGGGGATATAGCTCAATGTTTCAGAGAAACTGACTCCAGCCAAAGACCTCTTCATCACTTAGAATCCATACACAAATTGTGTTTTGACTGAGCATCAAGTGTCCTAATTGTCCCCTTGGCCAGCTTCAGTCATGTTGTCCAACATTCATTGCATCTCCCTGGGGACTCATCTCTGTCCATCTATGTCTGACCATAGCCAACCTCAACATGATCTCCTTTCAGTGATTGATTTGCCAGCTGTTGGGGTTACTGTCAGATGCTGTTCAAGGAGAAAGTTAGGACACTTAATGCTCAGTCAAAACACAACTGGTGTATGAATTCCAAATGATGAAGAGCTGTTTTGCTGGAGTGACAAGATATCAGAAAGGCAGACCACAAAGTTTTCTAATGAGAAAAGCAGACACTACATACACACTTGTAATGAAAAAGTGGACACTACACAATTTTGTAATGAAAAAAGCGGACAATACACAGATTTCTAATGAAAAAGGCAGACACTGCACAATTTTGTAATGAATAAAGCAGACACTACACATTCTTCTAATGAAAAAGCGGACACTATACACCTTTATAATGCAAGAAGTGGACACTGCACAGTTTTCTAATGAAAAAAAGCGGACACTGCACACATTTGTAATGAAAAAAGCGGATACTACAGAGTTTTCTAATAAAAAAAGCGGACACTACACAGTGTTGTAAGAAAAAAGCGGACACTACACAATTTTGTAATGAATAAAGTGGACACTACACAATTTTGCAATGAATAAAGCAGACACTACACACCTTTGTGATGAAAGAAGGGGACACTGCACACATTTCTAATGAAAAAAGCGGACACTATACAATTTTGTAATGAATAAAGTGGACACTACAAAGTGTTGTAATGAAAAAAGTGGACACTACACAATTTTCTAATGAAAAAAGCGGACACTACACAATTTTCTAATGAATAAAGCGGACACTACAAAGTGTTATAATAAAAAAGTGGACACTACACAATTTTCTAATGAAAAAAGCGGACACTATACAATTTTCTAATGAAAAAACCGGACACTACAAACCAAACTGATATTATGTAATGACTTTCCCAATTGGGAAATATGCAGACATTGTCATTGACAATGACAACACCCTGCTAGCCATTAACTCTTCTGGCCCAAAAGCGTGGGAAACAGTTCCCAACCTAAATGTGCACTATGCCTGACATCAGGTGTGTCTGAAAAAGTGTAATACTTTTCTTAATTAGGAAATGGCCCAATTAGGAAATAGTGCGCACATCATCATTAACAATGACCACACCATGCTAGCCATTAACTCTTCTGGCCCAAATAGCGTGGGAAACAGTTCCCAACCTAAATGCGCACTGTGCCTGACATCAGGTGTGTCAGAAAAAAGTGTAACACTTTTCTTAATTAGGAAATGGCCCAATTAGGAAATAGTGTACACATCATCATTAACAATGACCACACCATGCTAGCCATTAATTCTTCTGGCCCAAAAAGCATGGGAAACAGTTCCCAACCTAAATGTGCACTGTGCCTGACATCAGGTGTGGCAGAAAAAAGTGTAATGATTTTCCCAATTAGGAAATAGTGCACACATCAATGCATATACTACACATGGGTCAAAGCTATTGGTAAATATCTGTCAACAAACATCCCAATGAGGGTATTCTGCCTACTAAATAATAGGTAAATCCCCTATCCCCTATATTAAAAAAAATCCCAAGTTTTTCTCTTAAATATAGGACCCCAGACACCC